AGTTGGTAAGAAAACAATGAAATAAGGCGAGAATTTTTCATTTTCACCAATAAAAGTCAACAAAGAATATTCTGTCTCCCTCTTAAAATAAATGAATTCCTATTTTAGGTACTTTTACTTGCCGTTATAAACAGTTAATAGGCTAACTAAGTTATGCAGTAGACAACCGAATGAATCTTATTCCTGTAACATTTATAATTTATTCCTCTATAGCGTAAGCATGATGACAAATAATGTTACGGCTTCAGAAATGTGAAAATGAAACAGTAATGTTCATTAAAAATAGTGGTAAGTGGTTTGCGAGTAGGCAGTAGGTACTGGTTTGAAATTCAGTGAATGGTATCTACAATGTATGCATGTGAGTGAATGGTGAAGTAATAAGTGAACGCTTCGTATATACAAATCAAATCAGTCAGAAACCACAATTATATAAGTTGGAAACAGACATTGGTTACTGCTTTCGAAACAGCCGCTTTTTTCAATTTGAACCAGTCAAAAACTGAACTAATTTCGCTTAGTAATTAAGGGTTATCTTCATGTATTTAGTTGGGTTAGCGGGATAACAACAACGAAGATCCTCCACTATAGGGGCCGATTCATTTTCAAAAAGCAGTTTTGAAAATCATCATAAAAATGAATGCAAAACCTTTTCTGAATTATTATTATTTGTCTCTTGGGTTCCTAGTGGAACATACGGCTTCAGTACTACGTCTCCATTCCACTCTGTTCTATTCAATCTTTTGAACCTGACTCCACGACTACCCAGAAGCTCACATTTCTTCCTCACATGATCTCCCATGTCACCCTCACCTCGGACGCCCAACTCACTGTTTCCCATTTGGGTTCCACTCCAGTGCCTGGCACGTGATGTCCCCAGTCGGCCTTCTCAGTGTATACCCAATCCATCTCCACTTCCTTATGCATGTTTGTTGGGCGATAGCTTCTTGGTCGGTTCGTTGCCCGGCCAGAGTTCCTTGTTACTTATTCTTGTTATTCTGGCCATCTGATCTTCAGTATCTAGCGTAGGCAGTTGTTGATGAATGTCTGTAGTTTGTTGGAAACGCCTTTCGTAACGCGCCAAGTCTCTAAACCATATAGCAGCACTGACTTGGCTGAATTAGTGTTGAAAATCCGGACCTTGTTCCGCATGCTGAGTGCAGAAGATCTCCACACTGGTCTCAGGCTAATGAACACCTGTCTTGCTTTTCCCATCCTGACTTTGACATCCTCGTCTGTGCCTGTGCCGCCTGTAGTTGAAACAGTGCTACCTAGATAGGTGAAAAAGACTACTTCCTTCAAGTTTCTCCCATTCATGGTGATCGGAGCTTGTTGTTGTTGTTCATGCTATTGTTGGTTGGGTATCTTCATCACCTCTGTCTTCTCTACGTCCACTTGAAGTCCCATCTCCCTTCGCTGCCTCACCTCTTCTGTCAACTTGTTAGTTTTTGTCTGTAGATCTTCACGTTTGTGTGACACTAGACACAAGTCATCGGCGAAATCCAAATCTTCTACGATCTCTTCCCCCGTCCAGTGTATCCCCCTCTTCTCGCTCCTCACTGTTTGTTGCACGATCCAGTCCACTACAATCAGGAAGATCATCGGTGATAGTAGACAGCCTTGTTTTACTCCTCCCTGTCTTCACTTCAAAAGCATCACTGAGCTGAGCTTCCCACTGTGAATTACTTGGCATGTGGCGTCTTCATATAGTTGTTGAATAAGGTTGATAAAGATTTGTGGCACTCCGTAGTGTTGAAGCAGTTGCCAAATTACTTCTCGATCGATGCCGTCGAAGGCCTTCTCAAAGTCGATGAAGTTGAGGTAGGGAGTTGACTGCCATTCTATACTCTGTTCTATGATGATGCGTAGAGTGGCGTTGCAGTTTGGTCCGCACATGATTTGTTCTTCCTGAATCCAGCCAGCCAGCTAGCCTGTTCCGGTCGTAGTTTTGAATCCAGCGTATCCCTTAGTCTTCCCAGGATGATGCGGCTTAATATTTTGCTTGGTGTGGACAGGGACAGGAACATGATTCCGCGCCAGTTCTTGCAAAGACTTAGGTCGCCCTTCTTCGGGAGTTTGACAAGATAGCCCTTCATCCAATCGCCAGGTACCTTCCCTTTCTTCCAGACCTTCCGCAATAGTGGTGTGAGCATGTCCGCTGTTGTCTCTACATCTGTTTACAGTGCATCTGGAGGAATTCCACCCAGTCCTGCTGCCTTCAGCAACTTTATGGCATTCAGAACTTCTGCTTTCGTTGAAGGGCTTGTGTTCTTTTGAAGTTCTGTGGCTGGACTGCAGGTGGTATTTCTGGACGAGGTGCAGGTGGTGGTCGATCCAAGAGCTTTTTCAAGTGGTCAACCCATCGTTCCCTTTGTTTCCCTTCTTTGGCAATTAGATTTCCTTCATCATCTTTTATTGGTTTCATCTGCGTTGATCTCTTCCCACCTGGTTATTTGATACAATGTTGTCAAGGCTCTCCTACCTGCAGCCTGTTCTGCTTCACTTGCCAGTGTGTCATGGAAGTGTCGTTAGTCTTTCCGCGCGCTCTTCTTTACTTCTTTGTCCAGTGTTTTATATGTTGTACTCAGTTCCTCATCTCGTTGTGCATCCTTGCATTGGTTCATCTTCTGCTTCACCATCACCATCTTCCTCTCCCTCCTCTATCAGCTTCATGTGTCCGTCGAGATCCATTCCATGTCTTCTTTCTTCTTCCTTCCTAATACGGTTATGCAGGTTTCTTTCCACATAGCTTTCAAAGAGCTTTTCTGAATAAGGGTTGGATATTCTGCATTGAAGTAAACAAGGTCCATTTAATCCATTGGTAAGGGTTGAATGTGTTCTTGTTCATTGCGCTTTGGTTAAACGACATACATAATAGCTGATTTCTCACGTTATTTCCAATCAGTTGCTGATAACTGGATCCATATCATATGATCAACTGCATGATATGATTGTTTACAATGATATTCTCCTGACAAATATTTACATTCGTGAACAGAAACAAACTGAATTAACTCTCTATTCAAATATCATTTGTATTTTTGAATTTAGCCCGTTTATTTTACAAATGAAAAAAATAACTTTAAAGGCCACGCTCATAACTGCTGAGATAAACAATTACATTTCCTTATTTCATGAGAAGCTTCATTCACAACCAAAATACTAAAACCTGACTGGTTATTTCAGCAGCCTCTAGAATAGCCTTTAAAGTCATTCTTAAAAAATTATTTGTATTTTGAATAATTGTATCCTATTAGCCGATGTACTACAGAAACGATTGATTTCAGATTGCATTCCACTAAGAAGTCGTGTTGACTATAGACCAATAGAAAAAAACAGTATCAAGTTGCTGTTTTTTCAGTATTTGCAGTACTCAGCAGTAGACCTGGTTTTCCCCTAAGTTATGAGTTTGCACTGCCGAATCCTAGAACGAAGTAGCTATCTAGTTGTCGGTATTTCCCAATGGTTATCTAAATGATTTCATTTTGGGATAAGGGATAACTTGCATTGTTTTCCGAAGAAGCAATACGTGAGAAATGGCAACAAAAAAAACTTTAAGCTACGTGACGTTACCATCTAAATTACAAGGCTAAACTTTAAAACTCCACGTTTTTGCCTCATTCCAGAAAATTAGTTCTCATGTCATGTATACTAAAAACATGCATCCTTCAACTTCAGTCATACTCTTGGCAAGCTATTTATTATTTACTTCTTTAGAAAAGAATTTAAAAATTTCTAAAATCATATGTTGTAACTGTCTGCATTCAGATAATCTGTAGAAACAAACTACTTACGTAACCAAGCAAGAGAGAATTCAGAGTACTAACAAGTAATTCAACAGAGCTTTTGATGTTTCAGGTTTTATTCGATCTTTATGCATGAACTGCAGCACTAGAACTACTTATCCTATATATATTATGGTGTTACACATACCTACTGCTGTTTGATATACTGTGCTATCAAGACAAGATGTGAGCAGTTAATCTTGAAGAAATGAAAACCATAATAAAATTATTTCGATCTTTTCCCAGAGGTTTCAGGCCGTATCACAGGCTGTTTACGATAACTTGTTTGCCTTATTCCCCGACTTAAGTTGTAGCTGATAAGTTCATTACTACTGCAACTACTTGTTAATTATTTCATAACCTTCAGCCGCTTCTTTTGAACTCTCTTAGTCTTCAAGGTACCACTCATCATGAAAGAACATCATTTGTAGAAACATTTAAAATCTGGGAGCAGTTGACAGGCGTTTCCTCCTAGTATGGAACTCCTCAGCATCACGAACCCAAGACCCCTGCAGGGTTTGAACCTGGAACCATCAAGTCTCAAGGAGAGCACATTATCCATTTTAACCCAGTGAACGATCAACGGACATCGCTGTGCGCAATACACTGGCTATTATCTACAGCCATTATCTTCAAAAGTTTCCTTCTTCAAACAAAACAGGGACTCACCTGACAGCAGACATATACTGGAAATGTTGTTACAGAAAGAAAACACTCACGAAGACTTTTCGACAACACGATTTCAAGAAAAGGAAATTAACCAAACATACAGAGCTAACACTTCTTCAACTTTAGTGAGATGGGCACACAGTGCATGATTTCCAATGCCTAAACAGGTTGGTATGTTTATCTTCTTAAATTCTGATGGCTGGAACAATTTCTGCAGTTGACAAGTCAAACTACATTTGAAAACTGAACGGTTTTAGTACGCCTAAGATGATGAAAATGTACAACAGAAAGGGAGAGTCATAATAAGCTCCTTTGTTCACAAGTGTGAAAACATTGTGGTATATTCAGAGTTTCACAATAGTTTTTTTTCTGACTTCGTTAGTTTTGTTACCAAAAAGTATGGGATCTATGCACACAATCATTATTCCTTATCCTTGTAGAACAAGCGACTGACCCTCACCTATAAAGAATAAATACTATCCATAATTTTAGCGAACTGTATGGATCAAATACATATTTGCATTTAGGTGAACACCATTAAAGACTTACTTGTGTTGGAGTTTTTGAAGTAGTTGACCCAACTAAAGCTTCTTGTAAGTGAGTGGCCAGAAATGGTAAATGGGCTTTGAGATTATTGATTGATATTGCTAAGTTATTAATCATCTGGCTGGGTGCAACTCTTGGATTCACTTCTTTTGAAAGACCTTCGTCATGTGGTTGTTCAGAACGTGCAGAAAATGGTGCAAGTTGCAAAAATGGATCAATAAATGACTCATCAAGATCCAAGTTCCTCATTATTTCTACTGAATGAGGTCTCGGTCCTAAGACCAGATGGCTTGTGTCTAAAACGTTGGGCTAAAAGTATTCAAACAGATTCAATGATCCATAGGACTGTAAAAAAGAGATCTAACAAACTTTAAGAACTCAAGCACTGTTGAAGATAACCGAAACCTAATGTCCAGTTGATGGTGGTAAAATGGATGTCATAGAATGCAAATTTCACAATGTTTAGTTTAAAAAAGAATTCAAATGATTTTGCATAAAATTATGTGCAGAGTTCTAAAAGCACTCTTTTTCTCAACTTAATACATATTTAACTTTAATTCACATTCATACCAAAAAAGATAGTTTTATTTTAAAAGAAAGGGATTCTTGAAAGTACGACTAATTTTCTTGTTTTAATGGTAATCATTCAGTTCACAATATGAAGTGTCCTGTCAGAGAATTGTGTCAGGAAATACTAAAAATGTTGATTATAATTGCTGAATAGGAAAAATGAGACAAGCTGATTCAAATCCAGAAACGATATGTGGGAACAATTACTCCTCACTTTAAGCCTTTTGTAACTTTGCTGTGAATTTAAGTGACGTTTTATTTGAATAATGATGCGTGTTTTAGTCTTTTGACTATCACAGTAACTCAATTCATAAAGAGTTGCATTCTGGAAATAAATCCTTCAGACCTTATTTATTCGGATAGTGAAACGTCTATTTAGTAAACAATTAAACACACGCATTAAAAGTTTATTCAGCATAAATATGCTAACCATTTTTATTCCGTTGAAGATCAGAGAATCAGTGTGACAGTTGGGTAACGAAAAGTAAGTGCCTAATCTGGATGATAAAATTTATTCTCATGCGGAAAATGTAACGAGTACTGATTGGTCAGGATCTGTGAAAAACATCCATATTAACTGCCTCTGCCAAATAATTCAGCTTCTTCTTCTTTGCTTATCACTTTAAAGACTTAAGAATCTACTTTAATATTTTCATAAGTCTAACATGTCCTGAAGAAATTTGTATTCCACTCAAAAACCTCTTTTTATTGAACTACAGGATGTAGAAAAGAAAGTGATTCCATTTCTACACTTAAAAACAGCTAAATATTTGTATGAGATTCAATGAAAGATTATGACTACTTGTTTATCACTAAAAGACCTTATTGACACCCATCATCTTTAGATTTGCAGTGGAAATATAAATTCTGTTTAACGGGGTGATATTTAAACTGATAAAGTTCCAATTGTGCCCCTTTACTAACATAGGCTAGTAGATACTGCTTTCGTCAGGCAAAGAAACACTAAACATGAATGTAGGCTTTCAATGCATAGACGAAATATAGATACGCAGTAAACATGGAGGAATGTCAATTAGATTCTAATGCAGTTTGTCGAACATTGAAGCCCATGATTGCATTACTAAGTAGGTGAGAGGACTGCAAACTATGCAGGTGACTATGACAATATTCTGAACATGGAAAGCATGACAACCATTTCTATCGTTCCAATTAACACTGGTCAAAAAGGCATCAATCGGTGTTACTTAAGGATAAATTTTGGGCTATTTTTTTATTCTCAGCTGGAAATATCCTAGAAGTGACTAATTTAATTTCGTTTAAGATTTTTCTTTTGAAACAGCACGTTTTCTTCCATACTCAAATTTTATCATTCAGTTTTACAATTCGATTTGCTTTTATATCGTTGTCTACTTATTGTTGACCGTAAGATAGTGGGTTTTAAACTTAGGCACTTGCAAGTCCCCGATCTTATTCTAACAGACCAACAAGAAACAGTCAGTCAGTCAGGAGTAACTGTGTCAAGCTGGTTGCATATTACGAAATTATGCTAGGTCCAGGAAGTAAAAAGATATGAAAAGTGGGTTTTCGAGATACTTGGCCATTCAGGATGAATAACGCGTAATCTTGCATTCATGATCAACTATAAGTTTCAACACAGATTACATTTTACAACCACCATGTACTTTTCTTCTTAATTTTGTAAACTGAACGTATTTTCGTACAACTGATTTAGACATACCACACAGTTGGGAATGTGAAGTATGTGAAGTATGAGTATCATAGTAAATGTCAGTCTAGAAACTTGATATTTGTTTCAGAAATGTGGTTACGCTGACAAAAGTGCATATTATTAACATGAATGCTACATAAAATTTAAGTACTACATGTTTGCTCTTGTTAAACCATATGATTTAGCTTTGTTTCCTTTTGAACTAAGACCTATATTTACTTACACATTACTTTCACTCTGACCTAATTTTATAGGAACATGCAATAGCATCTAGATATAGTTTGTATTTATTTTATTCAACAATATCTTGCATTTTTTCCAGTTCAGTGTATTATCTTTTGCTTTTTAAGGACATTGAGTTAGTTCTTAATTACTTCAAAAAACTATGAAGTTTAACGGTATTGCAGTAGGAAATATAATCATTCTTGATTGTTGCCTTATAACTTGAAAGTGGTTGTGGAAAAATGTAAAAGTAAACAGAATTTTCTGCTCAACAAAACTCTATGTGGAGCACAAGGTTAGCAATTCGGAGGCAGGTTTTCTAATCTTGCAACGATCGAGGTTTTTATTTCATCACTCAGTCATCGCTAAGCATTAATAATACCAAACTGTTAAACTATAGCTATCTCAGATAGTCTCATTAATAACCACTGCGATTCTCTCCCTCTCAAAATCAGCTCCATTTTTGACAAAGATGAGAAGAGCTGACTCAGCAACTAATCTAATTATGATGAACTGACACTGAAATATCACGGGCTCATATGAAAGCTGGATAAAAAACTTGTGATTCTCGTAAAGTCAAGTCAGCATCTGGGTTTCGTAGCTTAGTTGTTAAAGTGCTGGGCCGGTGACCCAGAAGTCACTGCTTCTAAACCTGCCGTATCATACGTTTCTACTTTACCTTCTGTTATCATTTAATTTCAGTAGCACTAATATATCATACCATGAATATACTCTAAATAATAACTTTAAGTGACTATCATAATCAAAGGTAAGATGTTGGTTACTTGGGCTTACATAAAATCAGAATGCAAAATTTTTTTCAATAACTTACATTCTTCTGATTGTCTCCTTCGAGCACCTCATTCATGATAATCCACAAAAATAATGTGCCTTAATTGACGGTATTAGCTACAAAACATTCCAAATTCTACCGACTGACTGATTTGTTGATTTATAAATGAATATTACTAACATCTATTTGTTTAAATCAGCAACTGATAAATATAATACAGTTGCTATGCCCGCATATATATCGATATATTTCACTGTTGCTCTACGTTTGCTATGTGCACACTATTTATTATCAGCTTTCATCAAAACCTGTTATTACTCGAATATCCAATGAACATTACTCACCATTAGATATATTAAAGCTCTGACAGAGCAAAATGTTAGTTTAGTAGGTGAGGCGAAAACAGATTCCTGAAATGGAACTGATATTTGATAAAAATGTCGAATTACCGAGAGAGAAGTTTAATTTTCTGATTTAAAATCAAAAATCCAACAGTAACACCATAATATTTGTAGGGTGACAACTCTTTCAGTTTTATTCTGGGCTTATCACTGCCGTGTATTATTTTCCCCACTGAATAGTAATAGAAGACGAACTTGAATGAATTTTTAAAAAGGATAAAATGTCTGATTTTAAATAAGTTATCTTATAATCTCGTCGGAGGTGAAAATGCCTGTCAATGGAAATGAGTTTCAGTGTTTGTTTTGCAGCCTCGTAGCTTTAAAATTAATCAAAAGTATGGTCATAGATCTCTACTTTCCTGGAGAACAGTGTATATAGAAAATGCTGTTTACTGGAACAACTTGCTATGTTTGGTATGCTGGAAGTGGTTTTGAGTAAAATCGTTCTCAAATTCACCAAAAAAACGTCAAACTATTTAACCGCCATACTTAGCCATCGAAAAATAAAATCTTTATTTACAGACCTGATGTTTGACTGTTCGTTCGTTTTATTTTAGAAACCTTTCTGAGAAGCGAAAATAAATCACTATCTTATGTTTTTACAGATATTAATGCTGCTATGCCCGTTGAATATTATGAGAGGAAATATCAGTGTAAATTATTGAGTAAAAGGATATATCAGCCTTGGAAGCGAATGCATGAGAGACGATAGTTAGCCATACCCTTGATTTATAGCAATGTTTATATGAACTGACATTCATTTTTCAACACATTCAAGGAGCTTTTTTACTTATTTAATCGTTATTTTAAAGCTTACCCTTTTATATGCATCCCATTAAGTTATTTATCAAGCTTTACAGAGTATCAAAGAGTTAACTTATTGTTTCAGACAACAATTAGCTCTTGAGTGTTGACATAAAATGAATCCATGGGTATATGATATATTTTGGACACAATGAGTCAATTCGGTAAGCGATGTAGATGAAATGCTAACTGTGGTTACCTCTGTTCTTCAGCTTCTTGTAGGAATAGGATATTTATGGCTAAATGCCCAGATATAAATTTTCCCCTCCTCAAATTTAGTGTATTTCCCACATCATGCACACTTCAGAAACCACATTTGAAAGCTGTTTACAGTAAAAGATTATCATTTTTACCAATAACAATTTTTTTAACTGATCATTATATAATGAGAAACTACTTAGATCAAAGGTTTTACTTAGTTTGTAGACTTCATTAAAGTTCAACACTTTCCTGAAAACCACTGTTATGCACGAATGAGAAATAAAGTGCAAATCTTCTATGGCAGTAAATGAGAACGAAGTTTGATTTCACTAACGTACAAATAACAAGTAATGGAAAAATAACCTCTGCGCATTAAATCACTAAATTTCTTCCCGTCGATCGTTGGCTTCATGCATTAAATTCAAACGCTTCATGAGTTTTCAGAATATAAGCAATAAAAATGATCTGACTCGAAATTTGAAGAATATCGGTGGAGCGTACTACTTACTAAGCAACTAAACACTACTTTTAGTTGTCACCGATTTTACTTTATTTTTACTTTCCGAGATGGATGAAAAAGTACGAATGATCAAACTTCTTATCAACTATTGATGACATCTTTTGAAATTGATTACATTTTCGTACACGTATTCATCACATATCATCATGACTTTGAACATTTCATTCGTCTTCTTGTATTGGTAAATTCACTTATATACTTACTATTTATTTCGTCATGGCTTTACTTCTATCTGTTGTCTACTTCGATATTTATTTGTAGATATATCCTGTCAATAAACCATTTTCTTGACCTTTTGAACAGTAGTTAGTTAATTAAATGATCAAGAACCATTTCATGAAAAGTACTGTAATTTATTACGTTTAAAAAGCAGGTTTTATTTTTTATCTTGCATTCCAGTTAAATATGCCATCTCAATGAACCTCTGTAAAATATTCAATGTCGTGCTATCATCAGCGTCAGTTTATATTAATAGTGTGTAACCTTAAAAGTCGATATGTGAAACTAATATTTGGTAGTGTCCAATGTCACTGTGACTATTGATTCTTGTTTGAACGGGTAGTTATTATTGAAGTATGTTTGTTTGTGACTTAGTTCATTATGAAAACAATCTTGAAGATTTATTTAGTAGAATGCCAAAACTATCATTCGACAAATATCTCATAACTACATATATAGGCAGTTATAGTTATACAGAAATAGATCAAATGTATGTCGAAATTACAATTTGTTTCGCTGTACCAGCTACACTGCTAGGGAAAAAATATGAATGTTAATTATTGACGGGTACTAGTTTTATTGAAACAAAACCACCCCAGCAAAGGAAATAAGCATGTTGACGGATAAAGTTTTGCTAAACTGTAATACAATAGAGTATATTAAAGCTACATTATACGAAGCAAATCTTATTACTTTATTTCACGTTATATTAGAATTACTTCGTAGTTTACCAGTCCCATTATTCCCCTTATCATTTAGAACAGTTCAAAAAATGTTCGGAAATATTTCTGTTACGGCTCGCTCACCCTTATGATTTTATGAGTAGTAAACGTTTATACAATGAGGTAACAATATACTATGATAAAATGGGTGCAGAAGATTATCATTATTTTATTATTTGTCCCTTGAGTTCCAAGTGGAACACAGGGCTTTAGTAGTACGCCTCTATTGTACTCTTATCTGCAGTCTCTTCAACCTGGCACCTCGACTTCCTAGAAGCTTTCATTGCTTCCTCACACCATCTCCTCCACGTCACCCGCACGTCGGAGGCCCAACTCGTCGTTTCCCCTTTGGATTCTACTCGACGGCCCGGCATGGCGCGTGATGTCCTTAAATGGTCTTCTCAATGTATGCGCAGTCAAACCCATCTCCACTTTCTTCTACATATTTGTTGGGCGATAGCTTCTTGGTCGGTTCGTTGCCCGGCCAGAGTTCCTTGTTGCTTATTCTTGTTATTCTGGCCATCTGATCTTCAGTGTCGAGTGAGCGTAGGCGACAGCTGTTGATTTATGTCTGTAGTTTGTTGGAAATGCTTTTCGTAATGCGCCAAGTTTCCGAACAATATAGAAGCATTGACTTGGCTGAATTAGTGTTGAAAATCCGGATCTTGTTCCACATGCTGAGTGCAGAAAATTACCACACTGGTTTCAGGTTTATGAATGCCTGTCTTGCTGTATTTCCGATCCTGACTTTGACATCCTCATCTGTGTCTGTCCCGCCAGTAGTTGAAACAATGCTGCATAGACAAGTGAACGAGACAACTTCCTTTAGGTTTCTCCTGTTGATGGTGATTGGTGCTTGTTGTTCATGATGTTGTTCGTTGGGTATCTTCATCATCTCTGTCTTCTCTACATTCTTAGCTGTCCTGCCTCTTCTGCCAACCTGTTGGTTTTCGCCTGTAGATACTTGACTTTGTGCGACAAGACATCAGACATAAATCATCATCGGCGAAATCCAAATCTTCTGGACTATTTTCATCTATCCAACCAGCGTATGCCCCTCTTCTCCCTGCTCACAGTTTGTTGCATGATGCAGTCGAGTCGACCATAATCACAAAGATGGTCGGTGATAGCAGACGGAAACCCTGTCTTACACCTTTCTTTACTTCAAAGGCGTCACCGAGCTCTCCATTGTGAATCACTCAGCATGTAGCATCACACAGAATAAAGCATAACCAAAACCATAGTGTTGAAGCAGTTTTCAACCTACGTCTCGTTAGACGCTGTCGAAGGCCTTTTCAAAGTCGATGAAATTAAGGTAGAGAGTTGACTACCATTCTACGCTCTGTTCTATGATGATGCGTAGCGTTGCAGTTTGATTTGTACACGGTTTGTTCTTCATGAAGCCAGCCAGCCTGTTCTGGTCGTAATTTTGAATCCAGAGCATTGTTTAGTCTCTTGAGGATGATGCGGCATTCGGTGGACAGGGTGGAGCGTGATTCCGAGTCAGTTCTTGCAAAGACTCAAGTCGCTCTTCTTTGAAAGTTAGACAGGGTAACCCTTCTGCTAGTCAATCGGCAGGTATCTTTCCTTCCCTCGTTCCAAACCTTCTGCATAGTGGTGTGAGCGTGTTCGTTGTCTCTACGTTTGTGTTCAGTGCTTCTGGAGAAATTCCATCTGGTCCTGCTGCTTTCTCTGCTTTCAGCAAGTTTATGGCATTCAGAACTTCTGCTTTTGTCGGTGGGCTTGGGTTCACTGGTAATTCTGTGGCTGGGCTGCTGGTGATATTTCTGAATGAGTTGCAGGTGATAGTGGTGTTCGGTTCAAGAGTTTTTTGAAGTGGCTAACCCATCACTTCCTTTGTTTCTCCTCCTTGGTAACTAAGCTCCCTTCACTATCTTTCACTGGTTTCGTGTGCGTTGATTTCTTCCCAGGCAGTAAGTAACCTGTTTATTTTGACAAAGTGTTGTCAGGTCTCTCTTAACTGCAGGCTGTTTTGCTTCAGTTGCAAGTGTGTCGTAGAAGTGTCATTTGTCTTTCCGTGCACTCTTCTTCACTTCTTTGTCCAGAGTTTTACACGTAGTATTCGGTTCCTCTTTTCGTTGTTCATCCATACACCAGACTGCATTGGTTCATCTTCTGTTTCACCATCACCATCTTCCTCTCTCTGCTATATCAGCTTCCATGTGTCCGTCAAGATCAATTCCTTGTCTTGTTTATTCTTCCTTCCTAACACGGTTATGCAGGTTTCCTTCCACATCTCTTTCAAAGAGTTCCAGTGTTCTTC